AAAAAAAAAGAAGCCCCTGAATTCAGGACGGAAGGACCAAATGACAGTGTAGCACTACATGATGAAGAAATGTGTCTAGGGGCGCCCAGGTGGCTCAGTCGGTTGAGCGTCTGACTTCACCTCAGGTCATGATCTCATGGTTTGAGTTTGAGCCCCGAGTCGGGCTCTGTGCTGACAGTTCAGAGCCTAGAGCCTGCTTCAGATTCTGTGTCTCCCCCTCTCTCTGCCCCTCCCCAGCTTGTGCTCTGTCTCTCTCTGTCTCAGAAATAAATAAATATTTTTAAAAATTTTTTAAAAAAAGAAATGTGTCTAGATCCTGAGAAGGGAGAAAGCTGGATAGATGGTCTTCCCTGGAATTAAAGATCCTTCCGCACATGTAACTTACGAAAATGAAGAGGTCTGTTTTCTCAGGTCACTAAATGACTATTTACAAAAAGTTACAAAAGTGGCATCATTTCCTCTGTTGCTGTTGCTCCGGATTACGTGAATAGGGAGAATGAAGACAAATGAAAAGCCCAGGAGGACACAGATGGTGACAGGTGGGAGAGAATGATCTGATACCATTTCTTTATTATCTTTAAAATACTCTTGTTCCTACAGCAACTGCCTGCCTTTTATTTGTGTTTACCTTTTACTTTCTTTTGAAAATATTATTCATTTACAGGCACATTTCCTCATCCTCTTTTTCTTTCTAAATGTTGAAGAAAGCAATGACACATGTAGAGCTCTTCAGAGGTCTATCACTTTAGTCAATTGGAAAAAAAAAAGTCTTGTCGGTGAATAAACAACTCCTGAAGATGAAAGGAAACGAGGGCTTTATTTAAGTCCTCTAAATAAAAGTTCAGAGATGAGGAGAAATAACTTTTAAATGTACGAGTAAACAATTCAAAACAAGTAGGCTTGTATTATGTGCTAATTAACATAAAATGTTTAAGTACAAGCAAGCAGATTGAGAAATGTTTTCTAATGCAAGGAATATCCTCTCCCCTTGCCCTCAGCATTAAGTTTTATTGACAAAGACAGTGCATCACAAATGTTTTGGCCAGAATATTCCTGAAGGTGAGGGCAACATGTGTCTCCCCCCAGCACCTCTTGCTGCAAGCAAACCATTTTCTGAAGGACCATGTTTCACATGACTAGTTTATACAAATTCAGCAACCTATTCCACAATGTATAGATCTTGTTTTAGTCCAGAACAGTCCTCTCAAAATATTTGAGTAAAACTGAAGAAAACCAGAAAGGTTATTGCACCTACTCATGATTTTTCCTACAGATCTCAGGGCATATGAAAATCCCAGTCTACAAGCACAGTCTAGGTGGTGGGCTCGTGGAATATGTGACATCATCTCTACTCAAAACTCAAGCATCTAAAGTTAAATAAGATGAAGAACCACACAAATAAAAGAAACCTGCCCACAACTGGCAAACGGATTTGTTTGTGCTTAATTACTTCTGCTCTAACCTCTAAAAAAATGGTGCTAAGAGGCAATGGTCTTGTCTGAAAGTGATTAGCAAGAACAAAAAAGTGAAGCGAACTTGGCCTCACAAACCCTGAGGTCCAGAGGTTAATAACTATATTTCACTTTCTGCAAACCGCTAACTAACAAGCCTGATTGGCATACTTCTCTTTCCAAGTCTTTCAAACTTTTACCGTTTTCAAAAAGTCTCTCGATTTGCTTTCTGTAGCCAGCCATTGCTAGCAAAGAGTTCCTCATCTTCCAGCTAAGATGCTCTGAAATGTCAGGGTAGTACACAATGAGGCCAAGTAACCAACTTAAGTTCTTCCCTTCACACACTTTCTGGTACACTTTTTACTAAATTTTCTTGTGGCATACAGGGGAGCCACTGAGTGTGCAATATTTTTCCCGAGGGGAGCACTGAACAGGAAGTCCTACTAAAATAAAAAAAAAAAGTTTCTTGATGTTGGGAGAAACTGAAAGTGAATACATTTACACTAACAGCAGCAGGAGCTCCCTTTACGTCACACAGTCCCTTCTCTCTTAATATTCATGCTTCAAAGGAAAACCACACTTCGGGTCAGAAACACGACTTTGAAAGACAAGCGCTAAAAATGAGTCTGCACCTGTACTCTTGCCCCTGACATTTGACACTGCAGTTCCCTGCTCGTATGTCCGGATGCTCTGCTAAGCGGTGAGATTCTGGAGGGCAGGAGTCCTCACCTTACACTCATCTTTGCTTCTCCAGTCTCTGGCTCAATAAGCATGGGTTGAAATGTCCATTTTTTGACTATTAAGTAGATTTTGCTTTTCGTTTCAAATTTAACTCAAAATCTCCTTGTTTTGACTATGCTCATGTGCTCTCTTCACCAAGAAATAAGTTAAAGAGCTTAGAGTGGGGATCGGAGTTTGCAAAACTAGTGACAGTACTCTCTGCTAAGTGGTTACGGTGGCAGGAGGGAGGGTGGGGGGAGACACTGAGATTAAGAGGCCAGTCACAAAAGCCTATGATTTTGCTAACTCGACAGTAATGCAAACTTATTACTGACAAGGGAGAGAACGAGATTGGTTGTAAGAAAACCTGGGTCCCATTTCAATTGAGATGATATATGAAAAGTTTTACAAAAATGTATCAGGCACCAAGTAAAAACACTATACACACTAGTTATCACTGTTGTCGGTACCTTCTGGATCCATTCTTGTCTTTGAGAATTCCTTAACTTTACTTCTTGTTTATTTCCCCTCACCATGATACCCTAGGATTAATGACATGGAGTTTGTAAAGTGTTTTGAAATCCCTGAAGTGTTATAATCAACCCAAGTACCGTTTTATTTATGCAAACTGTGTCTACCCGGTGAGTCCACTTAAATATCTAGGATTGGGAACTTCTGTCTCATAAGGCTTAATAAATGATTCCCTCTGGCTCTAAAAGCAAGTACTTTTTCAATGACAATGGGAGGGAAAGCAAAGGAATTGCTCTGTGACATCTGTTGTGCAACGTTCTTCGAATGGCGCATCTCGATAAATGCATGAGAGTCCTCGGAGAGTTACTGCACACAGTGAAGAGAGAGTGGTAAAAATCCCAGTATCTCTGCAAAGGAAAAAGCAAGACAGGTTAAAACCAGAAAAGCCCCGGAGTCTACTTCAAAAGAAATCCACAATGAGGCAGTGAGTCCCTACTTCGTACACAATGGCTGCTTTCTAGCGTCTCCCACAGTGAGACAAAATTAAACACGAAATTGGGATGGGGTGGTGCATGAGGAGAGAAGAGAGACGAGGGGGATATAGTACTCTATGCCACAATTCCGAACCCAGGAAATGAGATAAAATATACTTATGTGAACTGCCTGAGCCAGTGTATATCAAAACGGGCAATGTTAAATTAATCTAAATGCTATTGTATACACTTGACATGCCTTATGTGGCCCATACGCTCAGATATTTATTCTATTAATGACACTAAAGCCGGTTAAGTGACTTTTTAAGGGTAAGATAGTTAAAAAGTAGCAGAATAAGACTGCACCTAGGCGGCCGGGCTCTGGGCTGCATGAACATTGCACTCTGCTCCTGATACCTCCCCACGCGTTGGAGCCAGCCTGCGAGGGCTAAAACCAAGAACAGGAGGCTCTGTGGGAGGACTGGTTTGCAAAGGGAGCAAAGTCCATTTGCCGAGTGGGAACTCAGCTTTGTCAATGGCTTTCTGCAGAACTTATTAAGGATTTTTAATACGGCTCCTGCCTACTTCAAGGCTTCAAGCTATTGAAAAATGAATGACACGATCTACATGAAAGACACATCTTCTGGCAAAAATATTATATATGAGCAATTGCAATTATTATTATTACTGTTATTACATTATTATTCAAGTATCTAGATTATTGAGGAGAAAGTAAAATTGTCACCTCTGTACCATTGTTCAACATGCCCTTAAATGGAAAAGTCCCCCAAGACATTCTCAAACACTACAGACTTGATGCATCTATTTATTCTTCTTCTCACACCTGCATTTTATAGCCATATGCTTCATGTGACAAATAAATATTCGAGTAGGTCTTACAGGCATTCTGAAAGCCAGTTCTTCAATTAGAACATTCTGTACTTCCACTGCAGTCTTGAACTACTTTATAGTGAAAACCATGGGAAGCAAATGGATTCGCTACCTCCAAGTCATCATCTGGGATGGCTCTTTTCCACTTCACGTTCCACCTGATGTGTTCATAGGCATTGACTACAACTTCGATTGCTTTGGGACAAGAATGGCAGGCCTGTATCACCTGGAGAGGAAGCAGACAGGTTTATTTGTTCAACGCACATGTACGATTCATTCATTCCCACAAAGACACCAAGAACTGATGGATCTGTTAGGCTCCTTGCAGCCTTCAAACGCTTTTGCGAAGTCTCCCGCCTTTGAGTTTTCAAACACACTGCCAGCCCCAAGGCGGATGGGAAGATTAATAAAATCACAGGACCTCCCTTCAACATTCAGGAGCAAGTGAAAACGAGGTGCTAACGAAGCAGGTGGAAGCCTGATGAAATGCACATCTTGCCCTTACAAGCCTCACCCCTTCCCAACAGCTTCTGTGTCCACCTGAACACCTCCAGCTTCTCTCTGCCAAATTGGCCTCTCCGGAAGTCCTTTGAGTACGGCCTATTTTCATTTCAAAGGGACCCAACTGGTTCTGCAATGTGTCCGCCAACTGGTCCATAGGCAACCTGCAGCAAAAGTACTCTGGACTCCCAATTTACTCACCTTTCTTTCCTTTGCCAACAGACAAGCAGCCCCAGCCACAGACTTTCACCTTTAAATTTTCTCATTGTGAGTTACACATCGGTTCCATTTTTCCCTTGAAACTCCAGAAAACTGTGGAGTTCTCTTCACTGGACTTGAGATGCAGAGAAAGCCCCCCATTGCTGACATTACAAGGGACACATGCCTTTGCCCTCAAACAACTTTATCCAAAGAGAAGTTCTTCCTGCTTTCCCAGTCCTTTCCAACCTCAGCCTACTGTTACTGGCCAAAGGGACGCAACACTGGATTTCCCCACCTCCTTTACAAGTCTGTCATAAGTGATCTAGAATTGCATTTTTTAGTGTGGGCTGTTAAGTACCTACTGGCTTGAGGCCCCAGGCAAAAGTGAGGCAGAAAGATTATCATTCTAATGCCGTGTGTGTGTGTGTGTGTGTGTGTGTGTGTGTGTGTGAGTGTGTGAGTGTGTGGTCACCGGAATGGAAGGCCCATGTCAGGAAAGTGCTATGTTCAGAGCAGGTAAGATGGAACCAGCTGACAGTGCACCTGCACTGCCAGTCTGATGAGCTTGGGACTGACTTCACAGGCCATAGGAGGCTATTACCTTTTCTTAACAAGAAAGGGTTATATTCAATCAATTCATTCCATTAGGAGGCCTTTATTGAGCGCTGTGTTTAGCAGTATGACAGTAATTCCGAGAAGTTTATGACCTGTTTTTTGTCTTCAAGGAGTTTACGGCCTAGTTGAAGAGAAAAGATACACATTTTTCAAAGAGAGAGCAATGTAAGCCAGTAAATAATAAAAGACTAACTTAAAGATCATCAAGTGTCCCTTGGGGATCATGAGCACAAGCACAAAGGAGAAAACAAGGATCTGAAGGTCAGAGAACAGTGAGGAGGCTGAATGGGGGTGTATCAAAAGGCTTCTCAGCCAGCTTCACTGTCAGTCCTGAGAATGGATGGTAACTGAAGCTCTGAGAAAGAATAGTAGGGCTTAATGACTACTCAGACATGCGGAGTAAAGAATGCAACTTTCAAGACTGAGATCAAGGACATATGGGGGTGCCACTGACAGAAATGAACAAGTTGGAAGGGTATACTAATTGGGGAGTTGTCAGGTCCCAGACAGGAGGATATGTCATATGCAATGTCTTAATGTCAGTCAAAAATGTGCATGATAGCACTCCACTGAAAAGGCCAAGAAGGAGGTGGAGATTTGTACATCATTAAAGAATGTGCTGGCTAAAGCCAAGTGGCTCAATAATGCTCTAAACGGGAATAATGCTCAATAATGCAAATGGTAGAGGACCATGGTCTAAAGTTTGAGGAATCCTAATAGGCAGGAGAGAGGAAGAAGGAAAAAAGTTGTAGTTACCATTTTTTGAGTACTTATTATTTGTCAGGGACTATGTCAAATCTTTGCATATTTACCTGCACAATCTTCAAACAACTTTATGAGATTAGCTCTACACTTACACCCATTTTACAGATTTAGAATCTAAGAAAATTTAAACTCAAGGTTATTTAGCTCATCAATGACAGAGCTAGGATTCAAACTCAGGTCTGTGTGACTCCAAAGGTCAAAAGAAAACGGGACCTGTCAGAGTGAAAGACATCAAGCTAGGAGAGCTTTGGAAGCTGGATTATCACCAAAGCCATGAGGATCAGAGAGATGAAGACAGATTAGATACCACAAGATCTGATTAGAAAGCCAGTTTACTAAGAGTTGGGTGGATTCAAACAGGGAGGAATCAGCTTGTGAGAGACAGAGGATGGATACACAGCTGTAACTAGGGCTGATCTATTCTCATCTTCAAGACCTTGGTGCCTTAACATACACGGTTTTAGAGACCCCATAAATAACTTTCCCTCCTGACTTTAGAACCTATTAAAAAATAAGATGAAGGTGACAATCCAAGATCAGAATGTCGTTTTTATTATTAATACAATTGATTACATATAATATCTTGAATTATGGGGCCACATCAAGCTTCCTTACACTACACCCCGAATATAAATTTGCATCACCAAACTACAGGCCTTTGCCTGATGTAAAGAGGGTGTTCCTAGAAGCTTACCACAAGGAAGAACCAAGAATTCAGGTATTCTCTAGGCCCACAGTTAATCAAGCAAGTTCAGTTCTTCCTCCCAACTTATCAGTAGGTTAAGTGGAAAGTGATAAGGTTGGAGACAGAGGTTTGGGGTGGGGAGGGTTATTTTAGCAGAACTTCCCTTACAAACACATGGGACCAAGGAGATGGCAGTTCTTTTCTATTATAACAAATCAAAACCCAGCTCCAATGGCCAAGACCCAATGGGAATCAGGAACAACAAAATATGTTGAGATGAAGCAGAGTCATCGGAGTGGGAATTCTAGGAAAGAAAGATTTTTAAGAACTTATTGAAACACAGTTTCAAATCAGGAGGCATGGCCTCAGCAGAGGACTGTGTCAGCCCCAGCAAACAGGCCAACCAGAAGGTCTCAAGAAGGAATAAGGAAGTTTTATTGAAATAGAGGTTTGAGTCAGTGTTATGCAAAAAAATGTTCAATTACAGGCTTTCTGAGGAAAAAAAAACCTGTGTATATTTATATGTACATAAATGCATTATAAATTTTTACCAATATAATGTGCAGCCCGCAATTTATAAATAATAAAATGTCCAATACTCTTTATTTCCAATTCTGTAGAGCTGATTGGTTCCCACAGAATGCCTTCACGGATTTTGTATCGATTTTGTACGGATATTGAATTGCATTCATAGCCAAAATCTATGTCTGCCTTTGAATAACACATGTAGTTCTTATGTGAATGTTGGTTGATATTTTTATTACACGGAAGAGTAATTGTTCCACAAATGTGAGGCAATGAAGACAATATTGGAACTTCACTCATTCATCAATGACACAAGTAATTTTTTGTTGAAATATATAAATGTTTTCGAATACTGGAATCATACTTCCTCACTTTTTGGTGCTACCCACTTTTTAAAAAAATGTTTATTTATTTATTTTGAGAGAGAGAGAGTGCACGCACAAGAGACAGGCAGAGAGACAGGGAGAGAGAATCCCAAGCAGGCTCCATGCTGATAGCACAGAGTTTGATCCCATGACCATGAGATCATGACCTGAGCCCAAATCAAGAGTCAGGCACTTAACCAACTGAGCCACACAGGAGCCCCCACACATTTAAATTTAATCTGTATTAGTAACATTCACCCCATTAATTTCTTAGGTCTAGACATCAACAAAGTAACAAATCAAGGTCTGGTCAGTAGCATTTGCTGATTTCTGTGGTGTAAATACTCCCATCATGGTCTATTCACAGCTACCAACCTGAGGTCACTGAATGTATGGTTGGTAAGAAATGTGCAGTAACAAATCATTACATAATATAATATTTCCACTACACAGGTATAATAGATGCATGTAACATCAAGAGCATTGACATACAGAGTAAAGTGATTAAGAAATATAAAGATGTGCACCTGGGTGGCTCAGTTGGTTAAACATCCAACTTCGGCTCAGGTCATGATCTTGTGGTTCATGGGTTCGAGCCCTGTGTTGGGCTGTATGCTGACAGCTCAGAGCCTGGAGCCTGCTTCAGATTCTGTATCTCCCTCTCTCTGCCCCTCCCCTCCTTGTGCTCTCTCTCTTAAAAATATATAAACATTAAAAAATTTTTTAAGAAATATAAAGAAAATAATTGGAAAATAATGTGTTTTAAATACCTATGATCTTTGTTTGTAGTATACTTTACTTGTTGTAAGTTTATTTTATTTAATTTTTAATAATGGCTGCACTTAACAATCAGCTCACACAATTCCTGATAAGTTGTCAGCCCTCATAAGCCACGGTGAAGCAATTCCAACATTCATTTGCTTTTAGTTGTCTCATATTTAAGAAGCACCGTTATAAGCCATGACAGAGTAACTGTATCTACTGAAGCTCTAAATCAGTCAAAGTGGCTGGGTCCAAATGAACACAACATAAATACTTGCTTAATGCATAGGAACCACTCACATACATATTCTGGGCAGAGTGCCTAAAACTGAGCTGCCGACCATGACTTTTTCAGCCGCGCCTAAACAAATAAAGAGCAATCCTGTATCATCAATCCATAGGGAGTAAGGAGGTGGGTTGAAGCCAGAGAGCCATTGCTAAAGGACCTCTGAAAAGTCATCATTTTTTGTGTTTACAAAAAGTGTAGCTAGAAGAACTTCCATCTCGGTCCTTGGCTGTTAGGGTAGTAATTTTTCAGCACCTTGGTCTTAGAAAATGGAGGCAAATGTGGCTGCTCTTTTCTCTACAGCTGGGATGAGGACGGCAGATGGGTAGTTCCAGGTGAAAGAGACCGACAGAATCTGAGGCTGACAAATTAATTTGTACACTCGTTATAAACTACTAACGCAGTGTCATAGAATGCTACAGTCCCAAGAGACCCTAAAGGTTATTCAACACCCACGCCCCCAATTTGGAGAGGAGAAAATTGAAACCAGAGAGGCACATAGTAAAAGGAAGCATGAGAACTTAATCTCAGGTCTTCTTAATCTGAGTTTAATGTTCTTTCAAATATATTCTGATTACCTTATTTTACTTCTTAGGTAACGGCCAGTGAAATTAATAGTTTAAGGACACAAATCTCGTTGCACAGATATTTTGACACAAGAAACACTCTTTACCATAATTATGTTAGGCTGAATTTTGTTGAAACTTCAAACTAATTCTCTTTTAAATGTAAAGATGTTGCTGCTAACATAAAAATAGCAACTATCCGGAACTCCATAGACATCCTTTTCTAAAAACCTCCAGACAAATCCTTTCTGAAAGGATGATATGTGGTGAGAAGTACATTGGTAATCAATTGATAATCCAAAATACAGATTTAAATGTCAGAGTTACTAGTACAGGGATGATAGCTGAAATTAATCCAAGGCTTGAATCAAAAATATATTTATACTGGAATTATAAAAACAAAAAACTGTAAAAGTATGGAGAAATGAGAAAGCTTGTAATGAGGTTTAGCACATAGTTTCAGGGTTCACTCCGAAAACTGGCCTCTGCTCTGCATTAATTCCCTGGGTGCATTCACTCTACATGGAAGCCACACTGGTTACATTTAAAGACAAAATGCTCACATACCCAACACAGGTAATTTGTCCCCAGATATTCCTTACTTTCCCCTTCTGCCAACACCTTCATCACAGATGACCAACATCTTGCAACACATTACCTACTTCCCAACTAGGGTTTGCAAATTTAACAAATACAGACTGCCAGGTTAAATTTGAATTTCAGATAGCACAGAATTTTCAGTGTAGCCATGTCCCAAACATTGCATGGGACATGTTTATATGAAAGATTACTTATTATATATCTAAAATTCATATTTAACTGAGCATTCTGTATTTTATTCGGCAACACCATTCATAGCCCCTATTCAGAAAAAGTTTCAACTAAGTTATGGCTACAAGAACACCATCCATTCATAGTTCAGGAGCCTAATTCACACATCTGGTGCCTCAATTTGCGCCTGGTATACTCCCATATATCACAGAGAGATAACTTGCCACCTTTCATGAGGCTAAAAAAAAAGAATTAAGTAGTTCTTAACCTGCAGTCTTTCAATGCACGAAGTCCAAAGCTCCCACTGCTGTCATTAGGTTTTGCTGACACTGACCACTAAGTTTTCTGCTGACAGAAGATGGTTCTCACAGCAGGAAATGCTCCTCTGAGGAGCCTGACAGCCTCCCAGCTCTCTTCACTGGCACATCAGGATTCTTCCAGAACTAAGACAGTTGGACACACTGTCTTCAGGCTTCAATAATTATTACACTAGGCAACAACAATGATAAAGATCCTTAAGAGACAGCAATCCCCAAATCATCACAATACACTGATTCCCAGGAACCTTGACCATCAAATGAGAAAGGACTATTGTGGACCCAAAGGGAGAAGATTCTGCTCCTTCTTTGTCAGCCTGGAAAACAGAAGATGCCCAATGAATTTCACTTTCTGTCTCTGGGATCTCTATTCTTTCTTCACCGAGGAACAACTGGACAACAATTTCTTCCCACGCTGGTGGCAACTGGAGACACCTTTGGATACTTCCCCTCATCATCTGACCCCTGAAAGCATAGATTAAAAAACAGATTCAAGATAAATCTCCCTGCCACCCTTCCCCTACAAGTGCCGCCTCTGTAAGCCACGTCAGCAGAGAAACTCTTAAGACTACCTCTGCCCTTTTATGTTGATATATCTGTGCAGAAAAGTACTTAATGATCAAAAAACTTGCTTGTATTCTGGGCTTCATTTGCAGCATTGTTCAACGGCAGAAATCATCCTTCCCTCTCCCAAACCCTCATGTACATTTCCCTCCCCTAGAAAAATGTCTTTCTTGCCCTACAAGAAAACCCAATCTTGGCTCCCTGGGGTGTCACTTCCTTCTGAATTATGCTTTGAGAAAAAAAAAATCAAATGTCCTTTTGTACCCTGGAAAGCAATTGCGGACCCTATAATTCTTTTTTTTTTTCCCTTATGTAATTTATACATTGGCTTTCAGTGAAATACACCCTCTACAAATTTGCTTTGTATTTGGAAGACAGCATCTTCAGCTCTGACCTTGTTCCTTGTAAATAAGGAAACTGAATTCCCCATCCACATGAGAACAAATCACTTTATCTTCTGGATAAATGAGTCAGTCATTTACTTGTCGTAAAGATGACTCTCTCTTTGGAAAGTCGGGCTGTGGAGTAGTTGTGCTAAATCACTTTGAAGCATCTGCATAGTAAATTGAATAGTTTTTCTTTAGTTTTCCTTTGGAAGGGGGCCAGTGCTCTCACACTGTCTGTTGGGTAGCAACAAAAATGTTTATAATACAAGCCATCAACCGGTAGCCAATTCTATCCTAAATCTCTTTAGCATATGGCTAAACCAGAGGAACTCAGAGAAGCAAAACACAACTAAGAACACACTAACTCTGGATAGTGTCCTTGGAACACATAATCGTACACCTATTTTACAGGCTGGTAGAGCCACCAAAGTTAGGCTGGCAGGAGGGACTCCCACAATAGACCCAGCGTGCGTTTTGAGAGGAGGAGTATGAAAGGAAACCATTTTATTGAGTACCACTACTGGGCTGGATGGTTAACATATCTTACTCACTTACTCCTGAAACGTTTTTGAAAAGTTGATATTTTTACCTTCATTTTTTAGATGAGGAAATTGAGATCTGAGAGATCAACGACTTGTTCAAACATCACACGGCAAGTAAATGGCCAAGCCAGGACTCATCACTAAGCCTCTGCCTCTAACCTTCTTCACTGTCACCTCTCAGAGGAGTGCCTTTGTGAAAAGAAAGGGACATTCTTCGCATTTGCAGGAAAGACTTCTTGCCGGAGAACAGAAGCTCCATGGGAAGGCCCGTTCTCCTTAATCTGGCTCTCAACGGGGAATGAGGAGAGGGTATTCTAGTTACTTTTGCAGAGACCTGTTTCATCCGCAGTCAACCAGCAGTGAGTCTCAGACTAAAACTCAATAGTTCGCCTCTGGACAGTCTCACACGTTGTCTCTCCTGGTTGGAAAGGACCCTGTGGGTAAACCAGGCCCAGAACACTGATTCTACTGATCAAGAAATATGTAATAATAGCAAAGGGATTGCCATCACTTCTTCAATGGTTACCACAGCCCTGGCACAATGCCAACACTTCTAAAATATTATCATTTAATTCTCAAAACAAACTTATGAGAAGGCTATTCTTTTTTTAAAATTGTCTGACTTTATTGATTTACTTTAAGAGAAACAGAGCGAGCAGGAGAGGGGCAGAGAGAGAGAAAGAGAATCACAAGCAGTCTCCCCATCATCAGCACGGAGCCCAGTGTAGGGCTTGAAGTCATGAACCATGAGATCATGACTTGAGCTGAAACCAAGAGTAGGGCACTTCACTGACTGAGCCATCCAGGTGCCCCGAGAAGGCTATTATTATTCACAATTAAAGGAGGTAGGTACGTTTCTCTGGAAGCTCCATGCCCTTCATCCCTCTCCATCCTCTTCTATAGAAAGAAGGTGGCCTTAGAACATAAATACACAGAAAATTATGTTTCATGGAGTGAGCTGTGTTTGAAAGAGATCACTTGTATGTCTTCTGGAAGTTGCACTATGAAGATGGCCAGCCTAATGAGGTGTGTGTGGGGAAAGAAGATGGACATAGACCAAAGGAGTGGTACTCACAGATGTGGGACTGGGTGGGGGCAGAGACTACAAAGACTGTCAGTGACTCCAGAGAAAGAGTAAAGAAAGGTTTGCACCATCCCCTGGGCTCTGAAAATACCTGTGTGCTACCAGTAAGATTAATTAAGGGCAGAGTGTACCCATTTCACAGGGGAGGCATTTGAAGCTCAGGAGGTTTAGTAATGTATTCAGAGTCAAATTCTTAGGTAAGTGGCAAGACCTCAGTTTGCTTGACCCCAAAGTCTATGCTTCTTTATTCCTGGCATGAATAGCTTGGTTTCTCTAGAATGAATGAGTTACTGGAGACAATGCAGAGATAAAAATTTAAAGCAGGAACAATTCCATGTGTAATTTAAAATATCTTCTGCTTAAAAGACGGCCAGTATTTGCCTGTGTGACACTACTGACCTCTCCAATAGCCTTAAAGTGGCCTTCTGATCTCTCTCAATTCAGTCCTGGCAGAAGCTGCTCCCAATTCACTGGTGCTCACCCGAGACATGGAGAAATATCTGCCACTCTCGTTCTCATTCTTAGCTCTCAGCCCCAGATTTCAAACAAACTTGGACCACGACAAAGTAGCCAGGGTTGTGTGTGCAAATGTGAGGACACTTGGAATTAGCCCAAAGATTCAAGCCTCAAATAAGCTTGAGTCACCAGAAGAGTTGAAACCAAACCATCCTTGAAGTCTCTGGGAACCCTACTGACTACCCTGTTCTATACTTGGCACCTTTAGATATAACCTCACCTTGTGGAACTGTGGAGGGTATATTCGAGCAGCCCCATGGTTCAACAGCAGTTGGTAGCAGATCTCAGGCTGGGCAGCTGGGCGCACAGAGGTGACCTTCAGCACATACTGAATGGCAGCACAGCCATTGATATCCATGAGATTGGCTTCCGCACCAGCCTCCAGCATCATGTGCATGAGCACGTGGTCACAGTTCCAGGCTGCCTTGTGCAGGGGAGATTTGAAGTCGTCATCCCTGGCGTTGACCTCAGCTTTGTAGTCCAGCAGCATGCGGCAGATGAGGTGGTGGTCCCTGCTGTACTCTTGCTCTTTAAAGCGGAGGGCCCAGTAGGTGGCGATAGCCAGCGGGGTCTCCATGTGGGCGTTCACACTGTCCACGATGGCACCGTGCTCCACGTAGAAGGCCACCAGCTCAGGGAGGCCGAAGTGGGCAGCTGTGTGCAAGGGCGTCTCCTCATCCTGGTTGTTCGTCTTCATGTTCACGTTGGCCCCTAGAAAGGGAGATTGAGGAAGACAATTTCGCAAACATATTTTGCCATTATTTCCCAAGTTCAAGAGACTTTTCTCACCGCCTCCCTTTCAACCTCTGATTGCCTTACGGGATCCGTTCTTTCCAGGGTAACTTGGTCTCCTGGGAAACCAGGCGTTTGAAACAACAGTGCCATCTTCTGGACAATCAGCAAATGTACCGGGGTTGGGTAGGGGTAGGGAGAGAAGGGAGGATGAACGCAGAAAAGCTGGAGCGCAGTTCCTTGAGTTTTAATTCTTACCCCCAGATGGATGGGGAAATACAAAGTGATTCCTATAACTAAATAGCTTTTATCGATAAGATAGCAAATATCATTGAAAAGAAAGTTTATACTGCAACCTTTGAAGCTCAGACAGTTGGTTTTAAAAATCATCAATTTCTTTGCCTATTTCACAAAATCCTGTTCTTCTCTTTCAAAGCTGGGAAACCTGAAAGTTTGGTCCAAGCAAATTTGAGTGTTGTGGAACTTGCCCAGCTCTGACTGAAAACAGCAGGTACTAGAGCCATTCAAGTGCAAGGCCCCCTTGGGGTACACTGGAGAAAAACAAAAAGCACAAACACTGACCACCAAACTAGCCTAAAAGGTCATATTTTGCTTGGAAAGGGGTAGAAGCCAGTATAATAGAAATACTCATTGAAAGAAAGACAGTGACTTCAAGACATATTTGATTTATGGTTGATAATGGCTGTTACAAATACAAATTTGTAGTATTTGGAACGTCCCACAGAAATTATTTAACCAAACCCACTTATCCAACACACCAGGAAAGTGAGGTGAATTTTATTTTTCTGATAGAGAATGTTAAGTACTAAAATGGTCAACTTAAGAACCTGAAATTTTCTTCCTTGCCTAATTTAATGGAGTGAACGCGATGACCCCTGGGGGCCTACTCTATAATCAATTCTACTGGAAATTTTTATAGCTACTTCAAGTACAAATCTGGAAAGGTATTATTATTACGATTACTACTATTATTATTATTATTTCGGCAACTAATATTTACTATGCACTTACCATGTGCAGCATTCTGAGCTAAATGTTTTCCATATAGTGCCTTATCGAATCTTTTTAGCAACCCTTTACAATAGGGGCAATTTTATCCTATTTTTACAGATGAAGAAATTTGTACTTAGAGAGGCTAATAACTCCCTCAGCAGTAGAACGGAGGTTTGAAAGCAGATAGCCTGGCTCTGAAATCTCTTACTACTGTACTATTCTACTTCATTTTTCTAGAAGTCTTTTCTGTGCATTGCTCTCTTTTGGTGTTTGAAAACTTGAAAGTAGTAGAGAAATCACATTGCATTTTGTTTTGTTAATTTTTTAAAAATTGGTTTTTCATGGATTGCTCCTTTATGCCCTTTTTTATGGCATCCTCTGGTCACATGGAAACTGCTTGAGAAAGGCAATACTCCCACAAACATGCTCAGTATCCTATACAAAATCAACCCCCTGGTGAGGTTTCTGAAAGCACAGTGTTCTATAAACTCCGAGGCTGCCTGTACTCCCAACTTGCAGAAAGCAGAATTCTAACCAAAGACGGTCTCGTACAGAGTCATCTGTGTTCATCAGTATTCCACCCCTGAGAAATTCTGGGTCAGGTGTCTTTCCAGGTCAGCCCTTCTTTGCTCTGTAGGGAAATGGAATGAATAAGAATGTCTTCCCAAAAGCCAAATGTGGGGTCACTTCAGACACTGGAGAATTTCCAGTAAGGAAAGGAATCAAAGGGTCAGAATGAAATTTTTACAGGCCAACTTGGAACAAACCACATCCTTTATTTTTTAATGTACTTGGACATTTACAATTGATTCTTGACCTGTTGGTACAACTAGATGTGCTGCATAGTTTTCTTTTCTGAATAGGCGATCTTTATTTTTATATTCGAATTGTATCTTTGAGTGTAACTTTTCCAGAGAATATATAAAGTAGGATGATTTCTTTTTTATTTTAGATTTTGTGATTTATTCAAGAAATTAGACACCATAAATATAAATTCTTGGAACCTTTTTAAAAATATTCTTAATGTAAAAATACAATGTAGGGGCCCTTGCGCGGCTCAGTAGACTCAGCGTCCGACTTCAGCTCAGGTCATGATCTCATGGTTCGTGAGTTCGAGCCTTGCGGTGGGTTCTGCACTGACAGCTGGGAGACTGGAACCCGCTTCAGTTTCTGTGTCTTCCTCTCTCTCTCTGCCCCTTCCCCGCTTGTGCGCTCTCTCTCTCTTTCTTTCAAAAATAAATAAATACACATTAAAAAAGAAGAAGAAAGAAAGCAAATACAATGTGTTAGTTGCCTAGCACTGCCGTAATAACAAAGTGCCACAAACTAGGTTGCTTAAAACAATGGAAATTTATTCACAGTTCTTGAGACGGGAAATCTGAAATTAAGGTGTCGGCAAGGTTGGTTCCTTGTGAGGGCTTTAAGGGAGACTCTGGGTCATGCCTCTCCCAGCTTCTGGGGATGGCTGGCAATCCTTGGTGTTCTTGGTTTATAGGTGTATCACTCCAACGTCTGTCTTCATCTTCCCATGGCCTTGTGTCTGTGTCTGTGTTTTCACACGGCTATCTTCTTATAAGGACGCCAGTCATACTGTGGTAGGGGCACATCCTGCTCCTACTCAGCTAATAACATCTGCAACAACCCTATTTCCAAACAAGATCACATGCTGAAGTACTGGGGATTAGCACTTCAACATACAGTGAAACCTTGGTTTGCAAGCATAATTGGTTCCAGAAACATGCTTGTAATCCAAAGCAGTCATGTATCAAAGTAAATTTCAAGAACCATTGGCTTGGTTGTGATCGTGTGATGTTAGGCGTCATGTACTACTCATATTACAACACATCACTCGTTTATCAAGTTAAAATTTATTAGAAATGTTTGCTCATCTTGCAGAACACTCACAGAACAAGTTACTTACAATCCAAGGTTTTACTTTATCTTCTTTTGGGGAAGTGGGGCTAAGATTCAACCCGTAACATAAAACATGCATTACATAATATATAAAGATATGTATGTATAGTTTTTTAAAATATTGTAAAGCCATCACCCACAGAGTCATATTCCAGGTCAAGAAATGAAACACCTCCCAGAGCCAGAGAAGACCTCCACTTTCCTGCTGTCTTTCCCCATTGCCAGAGGAACCTAATATGTGTTTCTTTAGAGTTTTGCTACCTTTTTATATATCTCTAAACAAGATAGTTTCATTTTTTTGAACTTTATATAGATGAAATAATAAACACATATTCTTCTATGACTTGCTTCTTTCATTCAACATTATGTTTGTGAAAATAAGCTATGTTGTGATGTTTAGCTGTCTTTTGTTCATTTTATTGTGTTCTGGCTCACTGCACAAGAAATTCACAATTTATCCATCCTACTGGGTATTGGAAATTTCTAGTTTCAGGCTATTGCCATTACTGCCGCTATGAGCATTCTTGTACATTCTTGTACCCTGGTGCTCATGGGTAGGACTTTCCCTGGGTTCCATACCTATGAATGGAATTATACGATCATTGGTTATGCATATCTTCAACTTCATTAGATAGTGTTAGGCAGGTCCAGTTTATGCTTTCATAAGCCATGCGTGAGGGTTCTTGTGCCATATTCTCATGCATGTTTGGTATTTTTGGTCTTTAATTTTAGCCAATCTGCTGGGTACATAGTAATATGTCATTGGGTTTAAATGTTTGTTTCCCTAATTAACAATTAATTTAGACAAATTTAAATATTTTTATTGACCAATACTGCCTTTTGTTTACTCTTCTAAGCATTTCCATGTTGTTATAGAATTACTTTAAATGTCATTTAAAAATAACTACCTAACAGTAACTACATAACTCCATGCAGTGAGTTTACCCAACTGTTGGATAAGAAGATTTTTTCCAAAATTTTGATCTTATAATTACTGCTACAAGTAATAAATTTGTATGAAAATTTTAGGATTATTTCTTTGGCATAAATTCCCTCCCTCCCCACACACACATAGAATCATTAAGCTGAAATGTGTGAACTGTTTTAAAGACTTTTATGAATAATTGTTAAAAGTTATATAACTCACTGATGTATAGCAGTGATATTTCACTCATCAGTATGTTGTTATATAATTTTAATTTTTTTTGTTAGATTGTAAGTAAAAATGATCTTCTTTACAAAAAATCTAGGGGTGCCTGGATGGCTCTGTTAATTAAACGTCTGACCTCTTCATCATCTCGAGGTTCATGAGTTCAAGCCCTGCTTCGGGTTCTGTGCTGACAGCTCAGAGCTTGGAGCCTGCTTCAGATTCTGTGTCTTCCTCTCTCTCTGTTCCTCCACTGCTCATGCTGTCTCTCTTTCAAAAATAATAAACATTAAAATTTTTTTTTAATCTAAATGCATTTGATTATTAGAGTGTGAACACTTTTTCTGTAATTATCAAATAGTGGTATTTCTTCTTTAGTTAATTGTCCAGAGTTTTGTTCTTTTATACATTAAATACTTTCTGCTTTGTTTACATTTATAGGACTCCGTCATTAAATTAAGATGTAGGCCTACATTATCATAATCGCTGTAAATTTTGTAACCAACTTTTTTGCTTTTTATTAAACACAATGATGTTAACTTTCTTTTTTTAAATATTAGAATGTGTTGTACCTCTCAGAGGTAGCATTGCTATCCAGATTAATTATAATTTTTTATAGCTTTTTATAGATTTTTAAAATATTTAGCATTTGATTCATCTGAAACTTATTTTGGTGTAGACAACAATTTAGGAAGATTGACATTCTTAAAATATAGACCCTCTTCATACGAAATCTGGCCTATTTCTCCAAATGGTTTTCTTTTTTTTCAACAATTTTTAATGTTTATTTTCAAGAGACAAAGAGAGACTGAGTGCTAACAGTGGAGGGGCAGAGAGAGAGGGAGACACAGAATCCGAAGCAGGCTCCAGGCTCTGAGCTGTCAGCACAGAGCCCAACACAGGG